AGAAATGACAGCTCTAGTACATGAGCGGAAAGGAGCTACCCATAAGAAGAGGAGATTCAACACTCCCCCTCCCTTGGCACTAGAAGAGACCTTAAGAATAGATCCCATAGTCCATGTACAACTCATGCTACAGAAAATGGGACAGATGGTTTGCTTGGGCTAAATCAAAAATGTAGAAAGTAGAAAGGACCCAAGGAGACTGTACTTACGTATAGGAAGGGATGTGACAGGTTCGAGAGCTTGGGCTTACGCTGTTGAAGACAAAATACATCAATCACCTTTTTTTGCCAGACAGAATATTCTAATAGAGTATTTATGAGGTCCCAAAAGAGAGGTGGTGAAAAAGCCACAGTTTTGCTCTAGGGATGATGAATGCTCATCTGAATTGTGGTAAAAGACCGTAGTAAATGATTAGGTTGGCACATATGCTAAATGACCCAGTTCAGTAGGTAGTTTCACCTTTTAACCCTCATCCCCAGGTACTGGGGCTTTGGTCAATTTCCCAGGGTTGTGTAAGAAAGTTTTCTTTGAAAAAGCACTTCTCTTCTTGCAGTACTTCTTGCATTCAGTTCTTGGGAATATAGGAAAATTTAACACTGGGCCTGAATTTCTTTCTTGCTCTAGTCGAAAGAACAACATCCAAAAAGCTGTAAGCACAGTACGCGCTATCTCCCTGCCACCCTGCACAGATGCTTGCCTCTCCCATTGCTTGCTGATTCTGCACCCACCTATTGAGTTTGCCCAAGCAAACCTGCTGGTTCACAGTCTGGAAAGCAGTCAAGTTCTAATTCTCCTACCTTGCTTTGACCACCCTTTCCTTCCCCGTCTCTACTTGGCTCACTAGCTGAGCCCTTCTGAACTTCCTCTGTCATCCTTTACTGAGCTTGTCTAAAATGCATTCTGAGATCATTTTGGATTCCACAGAAAGCAGATAAAGCCTGGAATTTGTAAGTGTATATGGTTGTTGTGGTGTCTTCATAAATATAATGTCTCAATGAAAACATCAGATGTATGCAGTCATGACATAATAATTAACCTTACAGAATTCTTCTAATTATTCTCCCATAGGAAAAGCATGTCGCAGTGTATTTTCTATACAGTAATTGATTGAATATCTTAACTTCTCCAGTTATAGAACGCGGCTGAGGTTAGTCTTCTGACAAGAACAACTGTACAAAGACTTCATTAAGGAAGTGTTTAGAGGACCTTGATACTCACAAAAAAAAAGAAAAAGAAAAAGAAAAAGAAAAAAAAAGAAACTTACAAATCAACAGGTCTCTGGGGAGAGGTAAAAGCTCTTGTTTGAAATCTATCCCAGAGGCTTCCAACAACCTAAAACCGTAATAAGTTACCGCAATAGGTTAATAATTGTAATAATAATTGTAAGGCAATATCATCTAATTAATTTGGCTTAATAGATTTTCATGTGGCAACCCTCCAGTGAGATAAACTCATAGGGGAAGGGTGATCAGTACAGATCCAATTGCAGGACTGAATTTTAGCTTTGTAAAAATAATTACTGTAAATAATTATCACAAATAAACTAATTCAGCATGATATTTGTTATGTTAGAGCGTCATTCATATGAATCAATTTTTCACTGATATCCTTGTCCTCTCTTCTAGTACTGTTTATGTCCTATTCTTCTGTTCCTATTTACAGGGGAAAAGGGGGAAAAATATTGAGCCATTTGAGACAATTACTGGAGTGTTCTGTTGACTTTAAGCGCTCACTTGGGACTGTTTTTATTTGAAATCATTACTGTGGGTTTATGTGTATGACCAGCACAAAATTTAGGCTACACTTCATTAGCAAAAATCTGTAAATAGTTTGCAAGTAGTTGTTCACTGACTTGACTTATTTCAGATTCAGGATTATATCTCTTTCTTGTGAAACACTGGGAAATAGGATCAGCCATCACTTCTACTGTTGATTCTGGAGGTTGGACTTTGGAAGGTAAAATACTATCCCAAGGAACTTCTTCATAAGCTCTAGATCAACAATAAGAAACAAGAGAAAAAGTTTCCAGTATAATCATTATCGAGTGACAACTGTAGCTAGACAGTATAGAATTCGGTGACAAAGAAAGATGTGGAAAAAAGTAAAGGTGAATATTTTCTAGTTTAAAAGAAAGTGAAAAGCCTGGAATTGTATACTGCTTGCTGGGGAACAAGTATTTATGGTATAGTTTCACAGGCTTCCCTTATGTAAGACATCACTCCCTAATTGGAAGAAGCAGTTCATCTTCCAATGAGCTTATTGTGATGACGGGGTTTATTTTGAGTAGGCTTGAATAGTCAGTTAAATGAGATGAGACTCTTGTAAATAGAGATTAGGCTTGGTATGACTAGTATCTATGACAGGCATGGAAGACAGAGGTACTGAATCCCCCTCTGGAAACTCCAGGTTCTCTCCACTGCCTATAGAGGAAGTGGAAATGATTTGCACAAACTGGACAGAAACTTTCAGATAACTGAAGTTAATGAGATGAATCCCATGCTAAATAATTGCTGTTACAATATCAGAAGTTCAGAATGGTAGAAAAATTGGTTGTACGCTTATATGTCCAGCTACCTACAGGTGCATAATAGCAAAAAAATGATGAAAAGATGAAGTAAAACACAAACCAAACCAAACCAAAATAAATGGTCTCTCACTTCTGAGTACTTGACTTGTAGAAATACTTCCTTGCTTTTTCTTCTCTCCAGCTTGCAGAAGAAGGATCATTTGATTTCTAAAAGAAAGCAAATAGATAGCAGAAAGCATTGCTGTCAGTGTATATTATGCTATGATTTCTTGTTTAAAGGGTGAACTCAAATGTATCTGTGCTTTCCTAGTTGAGAATCTTCTTTTGCATCTGAATGTGAATCATTTAATTTCATGTTCTTCACTTGCCAGAACTGGAGATCAAGAGTGGATCTACTTCTGGAGATTTTACTTAGGAAGTAAAATGTATCATAGTGAAAATAAGTTTAAAAACTGTAGTACAATGTCCTTGCCTTCTTACTCCTCTGGAATGTAAGTTCCTATTTGTTATGCTACTTATAAAATGGCATAGCAAAAGTGCACTTTGCAGTCCCCCACAAATGCCTGAGGTATTTTGTGATGTTCGCTGCTATTCAGGGGGTCCAAGTACTAGCAATAATTTTTTTGGTGTAGAAGGATGCAGGATACCATTACATTCTCACTATTGAAAAGACATAACTGGACTTGTGCTATGGAAGCACGGATGTCTTTTTATTTACTTACTTATTTGGGACTTGCACCAAATAAGGCAGTGTCTAAGTATTAAATATGTGAGTGTTTATACCAAATATGGGCTTGCCTAAGTATTAAAATAGTAATATAATTTCAATTTTGGAATTTTTGCATATTTCTATTCGTATTTTTCTCCAACTGTCTCCAGTTACATATAAATGAGATCGATAGTATTAGTCTTACATTACAGTCTAAACAGCCAGAGGAACAATAGAAAAAACAAAAACAGTCACCATTAAAAACTGATCATGCCAACAGTTACCATACAGCTACCTGAAATACAGTGCTTATTTCACAATATCTGACTGAAGACATGAAAAAGTCCAAGATTTCACTACACTACCGTAATGACTGGCAAAAATATAAGTTAAATGGAGAACAGATTAGAAGTGACATGCTTTAAATGCTTTGCATCATTACAAGAGCACTAGATCCTTACCTTGAGACTGGGATTCACATGAAATGCAAAAATATGTTTTTGGTCAGGTAGAGCAGGAGCAACTTTCACCAGAGTTCTCTGACCTGAAAGAAAGGGCTTCCTATTGTGTTAATCCATTTTCAGCAATCTTTGTAGTTTTAAACTGGATGAAAACAACTCCTGGCTTCCCATAAAAATCCCAATACATCAATGTTCTTTTACCTATTGTTACCACTTTGAAAAGAACTACACATTTTCACAAAAATACATTAAACTACATTGAAGCTGAAAGGAAGTGATAAATAACATAATAGCATATGTTGCTATAACTTGGCCAACCTCACATATTGCCATGTCAGCCAGTACACACATGTTGATAACCAAGTTAGCTGCTGCCAAACAGAAGGATGGTATAACGCCTAAGCATCATGTGAAAAGAAACACTAATTTAAGCCTTTCTTCTCCCCAAACTTTAATCTTCAAAAACTTGTAGGCATGCAGTTCATCTTTGAGACATATATGTCCCTGTCAAATTTGGCAGAAATTGGCCGATGGGGTGAAAAGTTATTAGGGGACCAATAGAGAGATGAATAGGATAAATGAAAACAACTCGTTCCTTTAGGGAACCAGAACAAGAAACATAAAGTAATTCTGTAAGGTAAGGGATAAATATGAGAGCATCATCCAAGGCGCTGTGTCATTAAGTAGCATAATGCTTTTGGTTACTTTGGGAAAAGTGCATTTCTAAATATGCATTGTTATACTATAGTAAAAAGGGCAGACAGCTGTACAGTCATAACACCTCTGTGTGGACACTGGAAAGTATTATTTAGTACCCAGAATGTACTACACAAGTACTTTTCAACCTTCTTTTTATTTCCAGACTCCCTAAAAAAATTCCAATACATATTAAGACCTCTATTTAACAACTTAGACCTAACTCATAATAGGGTTGCTTTTCTTAAGTATTTTTAGAAATTTTAGGTATGCTTTGGTGAAAATAGTTCAAAGAATAACACTTGAAAACCACTGTGCAGGATGCAGTTAGTTCTTGCCCCAAAGAACTAATCACTCAGACAAAGTTTAAAAGAAAATCACAGTCTTCAGCAAAAGAGATTAAGATTATTATCCTCATGCTATATGTAGATGCTGAAAAGTGTGACCTGTTCTTTAAAAGGGCTTGGGGTGCAGTGTAATATAACTTTAAGTTGATGCTTTTGAGAAGCTTGGCAAGAACATATGGATCTTTGCACAATGAAGAATTTTCAGATTGAATCACTGTCAAATTAAAATATTTCCACTGGAAAATGTCTCCTAAGTAGGCATTGACCTTCAGTAAAGATGGTGGCTGCATCTTCATTGGCTCAGCCTGATGTAAACTTTAAATGCTGTCTGGAAATATAAGAGACTTGTACTTACGTAGGAATGTTTCTATTGAGTTTTATTTCTTATAGCAAGTGTCACTATCAAGCCTATAGGTAATATTCATTTCATTTAGAATGTTGTAATTGCTTAACAGGTATATATGTACTAGTGCCCTCTACAGGAAAGAAGCAGCTATGCTCATATATATGCATATGTCCTAGTAGCTATATTAGAATATCGTTCCTCTGGTTTATTGATTAAAGGGAAAAAGGTTGTATCTGTTATTCCTTGTGATGTATGTGTAAAATAGTCATGTTAGCTACACTGTCCTTAAGGGGACACATATATAATTTTACATTTGCTCTGATAATTGTACATACAAATTTCTAGAGACCTCTGCTCTTCCACTGTATGTTGTAATTTGCTATCTTGACACTACTGTCCTGCTGGGATGATTAATCTTCTAACAATTATTTCTCCTTTGGCTTTCAGTGGAGAAATTCAGCATATAAACTGTAATAGTTCTTCCCTTTAAAACAACTTTCTGGAGATTTCAATGCCCCTAGTGATATGCTCAGTCCATAGGTTTGAAAATAGCATGGTCTGCTCTTATCCAAGTTGGGAACTCAATGGCTTTGTCACTTTTAACTACCAAAAGCTTAATGATACTGTCAAATTCAGTTTATTATTTAAACTAGTTCCCTAATCTGACAGCAGGATTCAATGATGGAAATACTTCCCAATACATTGGAAAGACATGCATGACAAAAGAAGCAACAGAGAAGGAACAAAGCTGTTCAATAAGCAAAGATCTCTCTGCTAGTGAAAAATTAGTGCACAGTGAAACACACAGCTGTATAGACCATAAGTAATCAAATCCTTAGTGAAACCATATTTGTGTTTTATATGATGGCATTCAGCCCTCAAGAGTTTACTTTGGGTTTTTAAGCATTATTTTCTGTATGAGCTGCTGGCTCATTAGGCAGTATGCTATAAACAATTGAGAGTGTGATGGATAATTATTTAATAGCACTTTTTACCGCAGATGGTATTCTTGATCCTACTGTAGGATACTTTTCATTCTTAATTAACTTTGTTCATATGCTCCAATGGTTATAAGCTATGCATATTAGGATTATCCTTGAAATATGATTTTGATGGTTAAGTAAGTTGCACATTTTTTTCTCTTTGCTTCACAAGTTGTTGCCTCTGACTAACCTTTCCTTTTTTTCTTTCTGAGGGCAGGTAAAAGCTTTTGGCCCACTAAGTACCTATGTTACAAAGCGGGCAGCACTAGCATTGGCTTCAGTTGTTTTCGAACGACACTTGAAAGGAGAAGCTGGAATCCTACTTTGATACGCCTGACATTCAATGTGCAACTTAATCCTGGATGATCATTAGTCTGGAGAAAATGCTTCTTGCTTCGGGGAGGAACCACAGGGAAGGGAATTCTTCCTAGTCAAAGGTCATTGGAAAGTGAGCATAGTGTGGCCACAATTACCTGAACAAGTTGCTAATAAGTTTCTTCACCAGAGCCTCTTAAAGCCACTGTGGAATAAAGAAAAGATATTTATAGGGACAAATAACTGGTTAGAAGATCAGAGAAAGCAGGAAGGGATAAATGTTTTCAAGGTAGATGGAGATCACTAGTAGAGAGACCTGGAGGTAATCCATCTGTATTTAGGACTTTGTTATTTAACATATTCACATATTATCTGGAAAGGAAGGGTTGGAAGTTAGGTGATGGGTTCAAAAAGCAACTGGATATATTCATGAAAACAAATCTATGAATCTATGACTACTATCTACAAAGACTCCACCTCAGGAAACCCCTGGTCTACAAATCATCACATGATAGGAAACTACTCTGGGTAGGAATGATGACATATTTGCTCTGTTCTGACATTCTTTGCTGATTATCCACTGCCTAAGATGGAACACTGGACTCACTGGGCTTTTGTACAGGTCCAAATATGGCCACTCTTACAGGGGCATGAAATAACTGTTCATTTCTTATAGCAAGGGCTACTATCAAGCCTACAGGTAAACGCTGTAGTTTTTCCCATTTCCCAGTTTTGGAAGAAGACTGTATCTACAGGTGTCTCATCTTCCAGTAGGGGTAAGAAGACATCTCTGCTCTTCATTAGACTTAGCTGATGTCCTAAATCCTTCTGCAGTCCCCACTCCCAACTCTGTGTTAAGCCAAGAAAAATAGAGTACTGTCAACAAACTGGATATGAGGGCATCATTGCCAGGTTTCCAGGTACAAATTCTGAAGGGCCTCCTAAGCAATGCAAAGAAACTTGAAATCACAAAGAAACGGGGAGAAAATTCTGTTGTCAGACGAATGACAGAAGGGAACCCTTCAGGCAAACACTGCCAACTCTTTCAAGACCTTATCTTCTAGCACTGAGCACCTTCCCTATGCTGAGCAAGAATATACGAAGAACAGCTCTTAAGCTATGTCCTTTCTCTGGTAGGCTCTGATTCTGGGGTCTTAGAATGACTTTCTCTGCCAACTTTGGTTGGACCTATGCTTGGAGATCAGAGGGCCTCACAGTTCCATAAACTTGCCTTGCTCAGCAGATACAAAAGGCTGCTGAGCCAGCTCAAAGCAACAGTGTTGACATGCCAAAGACAGCACTACATTTTTGCACATACAGAGGATCTCCTCTATGTTGCAGATGTTTTATACACCTCAGCTCATCTGTCTCAAAGGCTGCTTCTGTCTCTGTTTTTTTTTTCCCATTCATCCTTGACGGAGTGGAGAAAGTGACTGTAGAATTTGCTTGCAAAATGCATGACTGATCTCTTTCAGCAAAACTTCCCCAAGCTAGCTGTGGAATGTTTCAGGACTGATATCTAGAAAGATTAGCAACTCTCATTGCATCATGTGCCTGTGGGTTGGCAGCTGGGTTCTGAATTGTACTGCTGAAAACTGGAATGTGTTTATGTAGTCTTGTTAAAAACAGCAGCTTAAAACTCAACCGTTTTTTTATATCTACCTTTACACATTTCTATTTAATACCTCAGCACCACAGGAAAACATATCAATGAAAACTAGGTGTAGAAAAGCATTTGCAGAGCTTCTCTTAAGAAACTGATGCTGGATAAAATCTGCTTCCACGTTTTTTTCTGCAGTTAAGTTTGACTTTTGCCCATAGCTTCAGTGGAGTCAGTATTTCACTCTAATAGTGAACTTTGCCCACTGGAAAATCAATAGAAAGTCACTGGAGCGCTTCTATCTGCTTTCTCCATTTCAGACTGCTTCCTTGCCTGTAACCTGGATTGCTGACTTGACCACATTCAGTTTTAGACTTGATCGATGTTCATTTCAAGAGCGTCTCTATCTGCCACAGTCATGTTTGAAAAAGTAACGATCAGATAGAATTAGCCCTTCCCTTTACTTTTCCAGAGCCTTGCAAAAAACCAGCTGACTATCTCTGCTGGATGCCTGAGGTCTAATTTTATATGTAAATAGAAATCACAGTAACTGACAAATAAAAGCATAAATGATATAGGAAGAACAGGAAAAAAAGAGGGAAATAGACGGAATTTCTCTTTTTTCATCCTTTAGGGTTTCTTAGGTTCTTTTTTGTTTTTAGGACTAAAGTGATTCAAAGTGAAAAGTTCTAAGATAAGGAAAAAAAAAACACTGCCTGAATTTACAGCACTTAGAAATGTAATGGTGACAATAATATGGATAAACTACAGTGACCTATGTGAACTGAGAAGTACTATCCTTGCATAGTAAAATGGAGCAAGGAACTTATTTACATTTCTTTATATATGTACTAAGTAAAAACATTCCTACCTCTGAGATTTTAGAACGTTGCCCGAGTTCCCACAAAATCCTGTTCTAGCTGTAAAGAGCATTTCACGAAAATTGCTGGAATCTGCTTAACCTTTATAAAAGCATGCACCACTCACTACTGGTAATGTTTGCCTTGAGAAGCTCTAGACAGATAGTTTTGCTTTCCAGAATTTTCATTGGACTATTTTTTTAAATAGCAACCATGAACCTAAGCTCATCTCACGCTAAAAACAGTGAGAGTTTCCATTCTAATGTTGCAGCTAATATCAAATGATCAGACCCAATCCTACGTGTAACACTTTCATATGAACTAAGAAGGTAACGTGCACTTTGAGCAATATAGGATGGCAGCCCTAAAGGATTTCTGTTCTCTCATCAGCTAGACAGTGGAATAGGTCTTAAATCTGAGAACTGCATTGCTATTTGTCAGGAAATACTAAAAGATACAGAAATATTCAGGGGATTCCCTGACTCTTTGGAATGATATGTTATTGCAGTTCACATTAAAACAGGTGTTTATTATGGATCCTATATATAACTTCTTGATTTACATAAACAGATTTTTTTAAAACATTACTTAGCTTCAAAGATTTTCCTTTCTGGAAATGCTCATTAGAATTTGCTAACTGGTTCCTCTTTGTTACAGCCGCGACAATGAATCATACAAACGCTCTATTGCCATTGTTACTTTCAGTTCAAATGTCCAGTGCAAATATATTTTATAAGGTTGTTCTTTCAGAAACTTGGAGTGTGGTGTTCAGAAACTGATCTTATTTATTCATTAAGCATCTTGATTTTTTCTGATCAACAAATAAAAATAGTAACTTGCTTTACCTCCAAGTCGTGCCCTGACAGAAGCAGCTGACACAGCCCTGGAGTTCCATCTTCTGTCCTGGCTGCTTTCCTCCAGGAGGATCATCTGCCTCCTGTGGGCAGTCTGGCCTCTCTTTTCTGAGATGGGGACCCGCTGGTGAGGTTTCACATCACTGTAGTCCACCAGGGATTCAATAGCTCTTCCAGTGTTGGGTTGCAAGTCAGCATCAGCTCCTGGACTCACAAAACCGGAGCAAGGATCTACTAAAGGTACATCATCCCGGTGTGGAAATAAAGGGTAATTCACCTCTCCTGCAGCAGTGTACGGATTGAACTTAAGGAAGGAATTACTGTCTTTCTCTTCAAAACTGGCAAAGTCATGTCTGTTCTCAGGACCTTTCACAAAAGGCATGCACATCTTCTTTAACAGATTTCGATACTGCTGGCGATCTATCTTGTAAGGCGGTTCAGTTGACATGGAAGACTTTGTAAAGGCAGCCTCCTGCCTTTCAGCTCCATGGGAAACCATGCTCACTCTCTTCTATCACTCTGATATGGCAGCAAACTTAAAAAGACTCCACTTCCATTTCTTCAATTTTCTGAAGTCCTATCTGATAAACCACAGTAAAACGAGAGGTCACCCTGCAGAAGATCGGTGCAAGAAACGATAAAGAGCAAAGCAGTGCTTTAAACAGTGACTTCTCTCCTGAAAAGAGATGCATCAAGCACGGTACAAACAAGAATGAAGCTGTCAAATGAACAGAACCTTCTCGTTGCTTGGTAACAATGGAAACCACCTCACAATGAAATGTTTCATGGTGCGAAACGTGGTTCATGGGTACCACGCTAATCTAGTTCTTCAAGGGAATGCAGTTAGCAACTTGAAATGCTACTACAACTACTTACTCGTCTATAAGAGGCAAAATTAAGCAGCTTTCAATCTTTCCAAGAATGATACAGTATTTTCACTGAAGTATTTTAAAATAAGCTAGTCTATTGATATTTAGATAACAAATATGGATTGCACTGAAACACAGATTTAACACACACACACACACACACACACACACACACAAAATTAGCAAATGCAACCTCATATAAATGCAAATATAAAAAACTTATCATTATTGCCTGGAGTAAGTCAGTCACATTGACATCACAATTTTCCATGCTGCTTAATTTCCTCCTGGTCTATCAGGTTGGCAAGTCCCTTAGAGGCTCGGGTCACAACCTGCAGCACTCATTTCCTAATCCCAGGCTCTGGGATCATCCTTATGGAGGAATCGAAACAAAAAGCCGTCAGATTTACAGAGGTCGTCTCTGCACGACTTCAGTGCCACCTGCAAAGTTTTGGCATTTTGAAAAAAATCAAGCTGTGTTTATTTAGGCAGTTCAGTTCGGGTTATGGGGCCTTTCCCTTATGGCCTTGTCAGGTTAAATTAAGAGGCACAGAGCCTGATCTTTCTCTCACTCATGTTAGTCTCACACAAATTCCTAACTTGCTCTTGATCAACGGAAGCTCAGAAACGGGCCTAACAATGATTTCAGTATAGGTTTATAGAAATAACAAATTGTGCTCTGTAATTCAGAGCTCACTGTGGTTTCCCTTTGGAGTAGTTTGCTGACGAAGCAAAAAAAAAAACGCTTCCTTTATTACTAAGACAGCTTTTTTTATATATGTCTCAAGAACTAAAATGAGCAGAAAGGCACAGCTGAGAATATGCAGTACTGACACCATAAGGTTAAACCAGCAATAGGAAAACACATCTTGCGTCCACGTTCCACCATACTTCTGCCTTCAAGTTAGTGAACAGATGCTTACCAAATTTGATTTTTGCCTGTAACGAGCCTTTAAAACGTCACATTGGAGTCCATATTTACTTAAACTCAGTAACCGCCATACCAAATATATCCAGTTTACACATTAGAAATAACATCCAGTGCTGCAAATCAACCTTTCCCCCCCCCCGCCACTGCTTGCTTTCTCCTGGAAAGCTTCAGAAAGAGAAGGCAGGAGACGCTAAGGCACCGGACCCAGCTAAGGCACCAGGCAGAAGCACCTTCAAGCGTTATTCATTGTTGCATCGATTTAGCAGAGCGAAATGTAATTAAAACTTCATCCTGGATGTTGTTGACAGAAATTCTGTCCCAGTTATCCTGGGGAGTGAATCTGCCAAGTAAGGCTTTATTATTTCTACAGGAAATTTTCGGAAGCAATCCATGCTTTAAGAAGGTATTTGGAGGAGCTGGTGATACGTCTGAGCTAGTACTTCTCCCGAGGAGCCGAGGGAAGCCCCGCGGTGCTGCT